GAAATGTACTGCGTAAATATGTTCAAAATGGTGTTTACTGAGATTCATGAAATCGAATATGGCTGCCATGTAGTGACACCACAATATGCAAATTAGATTAGTTAATTTACTCCCATCAGATTCCTGTTCCCTTATTTCGAGGCTTAGATGACAAAAATGGCACAAAATAAAAGAAATGTACCGTGTAAATATGTTCAAAAGGCTTTTTTACTGATATTTATGAAATCCAATATGGCCGCCGCCTCGCCCTTCAGCCGAGGTCCCTAATAATAAGAAACGCTACAAGAATAAGAGGGTCCTCGCCCTTCAGCCGAGGTCCCTAATAATAAACCTTACAAGAACAATAGGGTCCTCGCCCTTTAGCCGAGGTCCCTAATAATAAACGCTACAAGAACAATAGGGTCCTCGTACTTCAGCCGAGGTCCCTAATAATAATAATAATAATAATAATAATAAACCTTACAAGAACAATAGGGTCCTCGCCCTTCAGCCAAGGTCCCTAATAATAATAATAATAATAATAATAATAAACCTTACAAGAACAATACGGTCCTCGCCCTTCAGCCGAGGTCCCTAATAATAAACTTTACAAGAACAATAGGGTCCTCGCCCTTCAGCCGAGGTCCCTAATTAAAGCTGCAAGCAGCGTTGGGCGGGACTTCGCACTCGCGCCCGTTTTGGCCCCCAGCTTATGTCGTCACTGTGAATTACTTAGAAATATCAAACATATTGCCACAAACATCAGAAAATCCTTACAGAGCTGAACGTTTTGATGTTTGAATGCTTTCTGTAGCTGTAGGTGTGTAGAAGTGATGTCACAATATGCAAATTAGATGAGCGAATTTCTTCCCATCAGATTCCTATTCCTATTTTTTGAGGATGAGATGACAAAAACAACACAAAACAAAATAAATCTACTGTGTAAATATGTTCAAAATGTTGTTTTACTGAGATTTATGAAATCCAATATGGCCGCTGCCTAGTGACGCCACAATCTCCAAATTAGATGAGTTAATTTACTCCCATCAGATTCCCCTCCCCTTTTTTTGAGGATGAGATGACAAAAACACCACAAAACAAAAGAAATCTACTGTGTAAATATGTTCAAAATGTTGTTATACTGAGATTTATGAAATCCAATATGGCCACCGCCTAATGACGCCAAAATATGCAAATTAGATGGGTTAATTTATTCCCATCAGATTCCTCTTCCTTTATTTTGAGGATGAGATGACAAAAACAACACAAAACAAAATAAATATGCTGTGTAAATATGTTCAAAATGTTGTTTTACTGAGATTTATGAAATCCAATATGGCCGCCGCCTAGTGACGNAAATATGTTCAAAATGTTGTTTTACTGAGATTTATGAAATCCAATATGGCCGCCGCCTAGTGACGACACAATATGCAAATTAGATGAGTTAATTTACTCCCATGACAAACTTCGGGTCATGATGAATAGTCTTCTGATTTACAGTATGCCTTTATCTCTCACCACTTTAAAGCCACAGTCTTTTGAAATGTTGAAATGAAAATGGAATATTTTCCTCAATAAACTCTGGCACCTAAAGGGTTAAAATGGAGTTTGTGTGTGACAGCGGTTGCCATGTGCACCTGGCAGAAGAGCAGAGACAGACAGACAGAACACAGAGGAAACCTCTTCCCATTCCCAAACCGTTTGCCCTTCATCAAAATAAAGTAATGGTGAGAGAGATAAAGTTATATAGAAGATCTGTTTAGCAGCAGTTGAGCTTGCACTTGTGCCTGTTTGAAGCCGATACGATAAACGGTGAAGGAGGAGATGTTTTTTTTAAGAGCACGTTTGAGGGGAAATCTTACTTTGAAAGGGCAAGGAGCTCACTTCCTGTTGGATTTAGGTCATGGGTGTCAGCGCGTGATTTGTAGCTCAAACACGCCAGTTTTGGTTTGAGCAGTTGTAGACTTTCCTATGGGCCGCAGTGGCCAGTTTAGTGCACCTATGTGGCGCTAGAGAGCCCATTTTGGCACTGTAGGGGTTAATAATGTGCAGGGGCGTCGCACCCGTGGGGGATGGGGGTGTTTTCACACCCCCGCTTTTACAGCAAGATGATTTCACCCCCCCCACACATTTTCCAAAGGTAAACCCATTTGCCCACCCTGGCAGTGCACCAGCATAGAAAAATGGTATGATATGATATGGTTTGGTATATGTTCATATTAAGAATTGATAACAGATTAAATTTATTTTAATAAATATGCATGTTCATAATGAATGACTCTCAGTTCATAATGACCGACTCTATGTTGGAAGAACCTCTGAATACTGTCTGGGAGCATTAATTTTGGAGAGGGAAACAGCCAAAGGCAGGCAGGATGTGGTGCTCATGTGCCACCCCTGGAACACCCCCACATTTAAAATCACTGCTCCATCCCTGATAATGTGTATTTGCTGTTTCAAATGAAGATTCTGCTGCTGTAATCTGTCCTTTAAAGATTGTGAGACTCACACACACACACACACGCACACACACACAGAGCCGTGTGAGCGTGTCTGTGTGTGCAGCCGTTGTCATGGCGATTAATGACTTGCCTGCACCTGAGGGGCACACAGAGAGCTCAGAGAGAGCAGATGAGCAAAGGCTGTTTAATATGGGTTTGGACTCCTCAAACAAGTTCTTCCCATACCCAAACCGTTAGTCTGTTCAAGAAAATAAAGTGATGATGAGAGACAGCCACTTCTCGTGAACGCACGTGTCGTGTTTTATATCTCTCGAGTCAAAAATGTGATCACAGGAGCGAGTTTAAAATGTGTTGCACCTCAGCTGTTTCCAGAAATTTCTCCTCTCAGTTTACATGGGAGTGAATGAGAAAAAAATCAGCGCTCCCTTCGCTTTGGAGCCACTCAGCAAAAATGTGTACGTGTGAGAGATTCCATGTCAACATATCTGTGAGCAGGACAAATTTTCCTACGTTTTTTGGTATAAATTGTGTATGTACAGTGAAAATTGTGGCCATGGCAGCGAGTTAAAGACAAAAGTTTTAGACGATTTTTAGAGCCCTCTCCACTCTAGCTCACAGCATTCCGTGCAATACACACACACACTGCGCTGCTGAATCCTGAATTGCTACTACGTCATGTCATTTTTTTTTTTTCTGAGGAAAACCCCGCAAAAGAAACAGGTTCCTGCAGAACGCTGACATTTGACTCCACATGGATTAGTGCCTACGTGCAGTGATAGCTGATTGGACCTCCCGGTGGCATGATTGCTCATCATCATCATCGGAGCTCATAAAAGCCTCATGCTGCAGGGCGTGATCAGCGTTTTCACATCGACTCTGAGGTAAGTGGCCTTGTTAATCCTGTTAGCTTTATGCTAGCTTAGTGTCAGCTTGTTGTGTTATAACTTTGTGCTGCTAACGTGAAATGTAGCTAACTCTACTGATTCCTAAGACCCAGCTGCTTGATGTGGACATATATTAGTGAGTGTTGAAGGCAGTGCAGTGGATGGGAGCGATGGATTTTAAACATTTATTGATGGTTTTGGCTTTGTGTGCTAATGTCCGTTAGCTGTTAGCTTCATTTGATGTTAGGCTTGAGTGAATTAGCTTTTCAGATAACTATAGCTAACTTTTTTTTGATAAACTCGACTCCTAATGCACAAGTGGTTGATTTAAAGAAATACTGTGAAATTTTAAAGGCAGTGCAGTGGATGTGAGATGGATTTCTAATATTTATTGATGTATTTTAATTTGTTCTTATGTTAATGTCCGTTAGCTGTGTATTGTGTTTGATGTTGGCCTTGAGTGAATTAGCTTTTCAGGTAACTACAGTTAACTGTGTGATAAACTCGACGGCTAATGTAGAAGTGGTTGAGTTAAACAAATATTAAGTAGGCTATAAGATGAAGCACAATACATGTGATGTATTTTAAGCATTTCTTGAAGGTTTTTGGTCAAACAGGATTTTTGCTGATGCTAGTGGGAAGCAGTATTATTGAACACAGCTATATTTGACCTACATTTACCCACTGTTCATCAACTGTAGTCTGACTGTAATGTTATATGTTGATTGTGATGCTCTTCAGTCCTGCTGAGACTGAAATTACAGAGCGTATGTGTGTTTGTCTCTGTTTCTGTCAATGTTATTTAGCCCAGTTGGGGTATAGATTGACTTGTGTAATGTAGTAATTGTATTTAATATGGATGCTTTTGTGTTAGTTGAACATGTTATTTAAATTAAATTTATGTGTAGCTGTGTGACTGTATCTCTGTGTGTCTGTAGCTCTGCGTTTTGTAATGTAGTGTCAGCCATTTTCCTTTCAGTAAGAACATTTAATATGGATGTTGTTGTGTTAGATGAGCATATTGTTTAAATGGAAAATGTCTTAAAATGGATGACTGTCGGTGATGGATTTTAAACATTTATTGATGGTTTTGGCTTTGTGTTTATGCTAATGTCCGTTAGCTCTTAGCTTTGTTTGATGTTAGCCTTAAATGAATTAACTGTTTGGGTAACTACAGCTAACTTTTGTTAAACTTGATGCCTAATGCACAAGTGGTTGATTAAAAGAAATACTGTGAAATGTAAAACGCAGTGCCGTGCATGTGAGATGGATTTTTAACATTTGTTGATGGATTTTGATGAAGTAGCATGATTTATGCTGATGCTAATGTCTGTTAGTGGTGTGTTTTGTGATGACATGTTGCCTTATGCTAGCTTAGGTGATGACTTTGTGCTGCTAACTGTAGCTAACTTTACTGTGGTAAACTCGATTGCTAAGGCACAGATGCTTGATTTAAAGAAATACTGTGAAATTTTAAAGGCAGTGCAGTGGATGTGAGATGGATTTTTAATATTTATTGATGGATTTTGATTTGTACTTATGCTAATGTCCGTTAGCTGTATATTGTGTTTGATGTTAGGCTTTTTAGCTTTTCAGGTAACTACAGCTAACTGTTGTGTGATAAACTTGATGGCTAATGTAGAAGTGGTTGAGTTAAACAAATATTAAATAGGCTAAAAGATGTAGCACAATACATGTGATGTATTTTAAGTATTTATTGAAGGTTTTTGGTCAAACAGGATTCTTGCTGATGCTAATGGGAAGCAGTGTTATTGAACACAGCTATATCTGACCTACATTTAGCAGCTGTTCATCAACTGTAGTCTGACTGTAATGTGATGTGTTGATTGTTGTGATGCTGTTCAGTCCTGCTGAGACTGAAATTACAGAGTGTATGTGTCTGTTTGTCTCTGTGTTTCTGTCAATGTTATTTAGCCCAGTTGGTGTGTAAATTGATTTGTGTAATGTATTTAATTGTATTTAATATGGATGTTGTTGTGTTAGATGAGCATATTGTTTAAATGGAAGATCTCTTAAAATGGATGACTGTCGGCGATGGATTTTAAACATTTATTGATGGTTTTGGCTTTGTTTATGCTAATGTCAGTTAGCTGTTAGCTTTGTTTGATGTTAGCCTTGAGTGAATAAACTTTTTGGGTAACTACAGCTAACTTTTGTTAAACTCGACGCCTAATGCACAAGTGGTTGATTAAAAGAAATACTGTGAAATGTAAAATGCACTGCCGTGCATGTGAGATGGATTTTTACCATTTGTTGGTGAATTTTGATGAAGTAGCATGATTTATGCTGATGCTTATGTCTGTTAGTGGTGTGTTTTGTGATGACAACATGTTGCCTTATGCTAGCTTAGGTGATGACTTTGCGCTGCTAACTGTAGCTCACTTTACTGTGGTAAACTCGATTGCTAAGGCACATTAAAGAAATACTGTGAAATTTTAAAGGCAGTGCAGTGGATGTGAGATGGATTTTTAATATTTATTGATGGATTTTGATTTGTACTTATGCTCATGTCCGTTAGCTGTGTATTGTGTTTGATGTTAGCCTTTTTAGCTTTTCAGGTAACTACAACTAACTGTTGTGTGATAAACTCGATGGCTAATGTACAAGTGGTTGAGTTAAACAAATATTAAATAGGCTGTAAGATGAAGCACAATACATGTGATGTATTTTAAGCATTTCTTGAAGGTTTTTGGTCAAACAGGATTTTTGCTGATGCTAGTGGGAAGCAGTATTATTGAACACAGCTATATTTGACCTACATTTACCCACTGTTCATCAACTGTAGTCTGACTGTAATGTGATGTGTTGATTGTTGTGATGCTGTTGAATCCTGCTGAGACTGAAATTACAGAGTGTATGTGTGTGTTTGTCTCTGTTTCTGTCAATGTTATTTAGCCCAGTTGGGGTGTAGATTGACTTGTGTAATGTAGTAATTGTATTTAATATGGATGCTTTTGTGTTAGTTGAACATGTTATTTAAATTAAATTTATGTGTAGCTGTGTGACTGTAGCTCTGTGTGTCTGTAGCTCTGCGTTTTGTAATGTAGTATCAGCCATTTTACTTTCAGTATGAACATATATTTAATAATGCTGTTGTGTTAGTTGAGCCTATATTGTTTAAATGAAAGCTCTGTGTAGCTGTGCGTCTATACCTTAGAGATTTGTAATGTAGTGTCAGCCATTTTCCTTTCAGTAAGGACATTTAATATGGATGTTGTTGTGTTAGATGAGCATATTGTTTAAATGGAAGATCTCTTAAAATGGATGACTGTGTCGGTGATGGATTTTAAACATTTATTGATGGTTTTGGCTTTGTATTTATGCTAATGTCCATCAGCTGTTAGCTTTGTTTGATGTTAGCCTTGAGTGAATAAACTTTTTGGGTAACTACAGCTAACTTCTGTTAAACTCGACGTCTAATGAACAAGTGGTTGATTTAAAGAAATACTGTGAAATGTAAAACACAGTGCAATGCATGTTGGATGGATGTTTAACATTTGTTGGTGGATTTTGATGAAGTAGCATATACTGTTAAAATGAAAGCTCTGTGTAGCTGTGTGTCTGTAGGTTAGAGATTTGTAATGTAGTGTCAGCCATTTTACTTTCAATGAGAACATGTTTTAATATGGATGCTGTTGTGTTAGATGAGCATATTGTTTAAATGTAAGATCTCTTAAAATGGATGACTGTGTCGGTCATTTTATCATGTTATCATGTTATGTTTAAAAAAATATATTAAAAAAATTATACAGCAGCAGTTTATCCAGAATATGTAGAGAGAAATGCTGTTGATTTATATCTTATAGGTATGTTATTACATCATTGTCTCTAGCAGGCATTTAATTGTACTGATTTTCTACATCACACTTATTGTTAAATAAAGCAATGCGTTTTCTTTAATCTACAGATAGCCCTCTCACTTGACAGTGTGATCTGCTACCCTCCTGCTTTGACAACTGCGATTGACCTGCGATCTGCACTACATCTGTGATCCTCTGATCCAGAACTTGTACACTACACACACAGATACATTCATTCAATTGTGAACACACATAACCAACTGATCAACACATTTCTGATTCCGTACATACACACGCACACACACACACACACACACACACACACACTTGATTATTTTAGTAGGTGTCTGTCTACTGCTTCCAAGGTAAGTTGAGCTATGTATGTATTTGAAGGCTGAGGCCAGAGTAGTGTGGCTTTTGAGTCAGAGTGATTTGTATGATTTCTTTGTGAATGTTGAATTAATTTGTTTTGGTTGTTTGTGTATGTTTTTAGATGCCCCGTGCCAAGTCCCACCGGTGTGCCCAGGCCATGAAGAGGAGGATGGCGACGGCGCAGACTTGGACACCCCTGCCACCTGTCCCCGAGTTTCGTGCTCGTATGTATCACATAGGTTTTTTTTACATGTTTCAATGGTACAAATAATATGTAATTTAAAGATGTGTAAAACATGTGTTGACATTGTTGAATTTTGATTTGCCTGAACAGGGCGTGGTACTGGTTACCACCATCGTGTGCGGAGATGGCCAACTTCGGAGCTGACCCAGCGCAGCTTCAAGTTGGTCACTCCAGCTCAGCATCCAGAGAAGCAGGTATGATTTGTCTTATTCATAAAGACAGTGATGGTTGCATGGTGTCATGCCTGGTGTCTGTGTTCTAAAGCAATGTCTCTGTTGTCGCAGCACGTGTTTGTTGTTGGAGACTCCCACCTGCCCGCCATCGTGTACGGGTTAGTGGCCATCCCGGAGGGCTGTCTGTCTTTTGGTTTTCAGTCTGTTCCAGGTGCAGACGCCAGGGAGCTGAGGACGGAGGTGCTGCGTGCTGCTGTTCCGTGGACCCTGGATGCCGTGTGTGTGCTCGCGCTGAGCAACAACCTCACTGCCAGCAGGACCATCAGTGAGGCGGCGTTGGACTTCGGTGTGCTCCTGACCACCGTCTGCAGCCACTGGCCCAAGGTGTGTTTTATGTATTTATTTATTTGTTTTTCCTTTTTTTGTTATTGCAGTCACTGTTATCAGTGTTTATTTGGTAGTTGTGAACAGACTGTTGTGTTATGTGCTTGTTTAAGGGAATTAATGAAGAAATGGTTGCGCACTTCCCAGTCCATCGGTTGGAGCTGTGGTGCCATGATGGCGTAAGTACAGGATACTTTGTTGGTGTGATATAAGACGTGGTGGAGTTTCATGTTTTTGGAGTGACATGTTGGTTGTGTTAAACTGTCTTTCAGGTNCGTAAGTACAGGATACTTTGTTGGTGTGATATAAGACGTGGTGGAGTTTCATGTTTTTGGAGTGACATGTTGGTTGTGTTAAACTGTCTTTCAGGTACACCTCAGCGACTCCGATGGCATGCCCATCCTGGTGCAGCTGCTGTGGAACGTGGCCTACCTCCAGCTGGCACCCCCTCCGCCCGCGCCTCTGGTGTCTCCCCGGAGATCGTCGGGTGGCCGGGTGTCCCCCAGTCTGGTCGTGACGGGGCACGTTCCCGTGCCGCGTCACAGTGACCCCAGCGAGTGGGCGGTGGTTGGACGGCAGGGTGGACGGCAGGGCAAGGTAATGTGTTGCTTCAAGACAATTTGTGGCTTAAAGCTGTGCAAAGTTTTTTGTTCCAAAAATGAAATCGAACCAACTCTGTTTTTGTTTTGTAAGGCTGGAACATCTCTGGTGGGACAGTCTGTCATCCCGTCCAACCCTGTGTGGTTCAGCAGTGGCATGTTGGACGCCATGGAGAAGGTTTCCCCTTCTTCTGGCTCTGGCTGCCCTGCTGATCCGCCAGCTGGGCAGGTAAGCTGTTTACACATTGTGTCAATACTGTAGAGGTCAAATCGGGAGGACAGTTTTTAAATAGGTTTGTTTTCCTTCCTACAGACCTTCCGTGTGAAGCATCAGCCGAGAGGTGTTGCCACAACGCGCAGAGGACGAAAGTGGCAGGTTGGTGTTTGGTTTTTTTTTTTGTTTGTTTGTTTGTTTGTTCGTTTTTGGTAGGATGTTGATGTGGAATTTTTTTTATATTTCTAAAACATATGCCGCGACAAAGTGAGTGCTGCATTTTAATGGTTTTTGATTTTTATTCTGTCTGCAACACCTGTGCCTGCCCCTGTGACCGAGTCTGCCTCCAAGCCTGGCCCAGCAGTCCAGGAGGTGTGTTTCATTTTAAATATAATGTCACTAATTGATGATTTTAGGAAGCAGTAACATGTCGTCTTTCGTTGTATTATTTAGTAAAACCTCATATTTTGTTTTTGTGCCAGGTGCAGGTCACAGCCCAGCTGTCCGTGGAGGTGGTGGAGGAGGTTGCTGCAGCGTGCCTTGCTGTGCCGATGAAGTCCGCCGTCCAGGAGGGAACCCGGATGTCACAGAGGATCGGCACAGATAAGGATGTTTTTATTCCTTTTGTTAGTGTTCCTGATGTTAGTGCAGTTGTGTCAGAGTCAGACAGTCATGTTGTGGCAGCAGAGGGTAGCAGAGGGTTCAGGCTGGGGAAGGTTGTGAGGGGAACGTTTCACCAGGGAGATGAGCGGTTTGTGTATGGAGGGCGGCAGTGTATGGCTATAGCTTTGGCCAGCTTAGCCAAACACACGCTGAGTGTGTTGTCGTGGGATAGGTTTGATGTTGATAGCGTGTTGGTTGTAGGTGATGAGTTGTACACTAGTTTGCGTGACCTGAACATTTTTAGCCACGAATCAAATCTGCTCTGCTCTGTTGCAGATTTGCCAAAGCAGTTTGAGGTAGGTGAGCAGTTGTTTAGCTTTAGCCACGGTGACACAGTGTTGGGTGAAGTAGGCGTGACTGAGGGTGAACACATCGAAAGTGGTGTGTTCATCAGTCTGAGAAATGGACTGGAGAGGATCTTCAGACAGTATAGTACATGTATTATGACACTGTGTGGGAGTAGTTCTGTCATCATTTGTGAGGATGGACGGTTTGCTGTGGTAGACAGTCACTCGCGTTGTGACATTGGGTTAGTGCATAGTGATGGTAAAAGTGTGGTGTTGCAGTTTGATTGTCTGGATGATCTCTATGGATACATCTGTTGTTTGGCAGACAGTCTCAGTTCTAGGCAGAAGCTCTTTAAGCTGTGTGGCGTCAGTGTCAGTGAGGGTGCAAGCCCAATGCTGTCTTGTGTTTCTGTGGAGAGCTGTATTACTGAGATGAGTACTGCTCCAGTGGCAGTCTAGTGATGTTTCTGAGGCGAGGGTAAAACACATTTCCTCAGGAAATTGTGTGTCTGAGTGTGGTGTTGGTGTAACTGTAAGTCCAGCACTGTCTGGCATTTCTGTTGTGACTTTAGCCAGTCAGGTGAGCAGTGGTTCAGCGGCAGAGTCAACAGTTAGTGATGGTAGAAAGTGTAAAATTTCTTCTCGCACTAGTGTGTTGAAGAAATTAAAGACATTTGATGTTAGTGAGGTTAATGCAGATGTAGAATTTGTTAGTGCTGCGGCAAATGAGCTGCTCTTCCAACCTCTTAGTGTAGATGTCTGTAAAGCTTTGTGTAACAAGTTGAATATAGACTTTGGGAAGGTCAGTGGTTTGGTGTCCACAGAGGTGGGGCTGTTAGGGGTCCCGTGTTTAAATGAGAGGATTGTGGCTGATGGTAACTGCTTCTTCAGAGCCATCTCTCAGGCTGTGAGTGGCTCACAGAAGCACCATCGCAAGATTAGGCTAGCTGTATGTAAGGAGTTAGAAAGGAATGCAGATAAGTATGCAAGTCTTCTGAGAAGTGAGTATTCATCTGTTTCAGAATATCTTCAGCAGTCCAGGATGAGAAATGTGAACAGTTGGGCTACAGAGGTAGAAATCCAGGTCACAGCAGATTGGTTAGGAGTTAGTGTGTGTACTTTTTATGATGGACGTTGGTTGAAGTACAAGTGTAACACTATGTGTTTGTTAGCAGAGTGTATTTATGTAGAGAATGTCATGGGACAGCATTTTGAGAACACTCTGTGTGTGCATAAGCCTGGACTGCAGATTTGTTATAGTTACTGTAAACTTAGTGATGTGTCAGGTTATAGCATTAGGTCTAGAGTGACAGATGTTGTGGATAGTGAGAAGTTAGCCGTTGGATGTAATGAATGTGTAGGGTCTGAAGGCGTAGGTCGTAAGCCTGTAAAATCAAAGTATTTGAGGCAGAGAAAAGGGACACAGGAGAAAATCAGTAGGTTGCTTAGGGAGAGACGTAAAGTTTATGAAGATGTATCAGGAGAACGTATTGTATAGAGAAAGTGTTAAAGCGAGGAAGGTTAGTAAACAGAGAACATCCAGCACAGGCAGAGAGTTAAAGCGATTAGTAAAGCTAAGAGTATAGCTAAGTATAGAGAAAGCATCAAGCACAGGCAGAGGGTTAAAGCGATTAGTAAAGCTAAGAGTATAGCAAAGTATAGAGAAAGCATCGAGCACAGGGAGAAAGTTAAAGGGAGTTGTAAAACTAAGAATATAGCGAAGTATAGAGAAAGCATCGAGCACAGGGAGAAAGTTAAAGCAAGTTGTAAAGCTAAGAGTATAGCGAAGTATAGAGAAAGCATCGAGCACAGGGAGAAAGTTAAAGCGCTGAGTGTTAGTAAATATAGACAAGACACCCAGCACAGACAGAGGGTTATGGATAGCGTCAGGTTGAGTAGGAAGCAGAGGATGGAGAAGTCAGTCGACTTTGGTTTTGTTATGGAGCAGTTTTTGGAAAAGGTCAGATGGTCCAGATTTTGTGTGTTGTATGTGTCATAGGTTGTTGTTGTTTAGAAATCAGGTGCAGAGCTGTGTAAGGGAAGTGTATGGTACAAGTTTAGCTACAGCGGGTATTGCAGAACAGTGCATTAGTGAGAAGTATTTGCATAGATGTAACAATCAGTGTGTTGTGGTCAGCTGTGGATTTGTCATATGTGTCATCGTAAGATTAGTGCAGGTGAGATGCCAGCTGAATGTTGGAGTAATAACTTGGATGTTGATCCTGTTCCACCAGAACTGGGATGTCTGAATAGTATAGAGCAGCATTTGATAGCCTTGCATATTCCTTTCATGAAAATGTTGGCATTGCCTAAAGGGGGGCAAAATGGAGTACATGGTCCAGTGACCTGTGTTCCCGCCAACATTACGCAAACTAGTGATGTGTTGCCGCGTTCGAGTATGGAAGGGTCTTTGGTGCAGGTGAAGTTAAAGCGCAAGTTGACCTATAAGGGACATTACGAGTACCAGTTTGTGGATCCGTTGCATGTAAGACAGGCGCTGGAGTATTTAAAGAGGACCAATGTTCATTATAGAGACATAGAGTTTAATGAGGAGTGGATTAGTGAGTTTTGTAGGCAGGAAGATGGGGACGGGGAAGAGGCAGGATCAGCTAGTGAGGATGAAGCTGGTAGAGGAAGTGAGGAAGCTGGTACAGGAAGTGAGGTTGTTGGTCAGGTTGTAGAAAAGGCTGAGGTTGATGATTTAGCAGAATCAGCAGACATAGTACAAGATGAAATGTTACATGACAGACAGCAGCACTGCATGTTTCAGGACACTTGTCTTATGCCTGTTGATATTGGTCAGGAAGCATTAGATCAGTATTTTGATGATATCGTGAATATAGCGCCTGCAGAGCGAAATAGTCCAGTTAGGATGCTCTCTGACCAGAGTAATGAAGCGAAGTGTTTCCCTGTGTTGTTTCCTGTGGGTCAGAAGACCTTCCATGACAGTCGGCGTTATCAGTTGAGTCTGTCGCGTTATTTCAACAATAGGATTATGCACTGCGATGGTCGTTTTGCACGTAATGTAGAGTACATATTTTTTGCTCAGTACATGTCAGAGGTTGATCAGGTGATGTCGAGTGTTTCTGTAGCGTTGCGTAAAGGTAAGGGAGGTCAGAGGTCTCAAAGGATTAGTCGGAGTATGCTGAAGGATGAGGAGTCTCTGAAGCAGTTGTTGCAGTTTGATGATGGATTTAGGTTTTTAAAGCCTCTTCGTGGGACCCCTGCGTTTTGGATGTCCGTGCAGAAGGACGTCTTGGCGTGTGTGCGTCAGTTAGGGATTCCGACGTGGTTTTGCTCGTTTTCGTCTGCAGATCTGCGCTGGCAGAATCTCCTGACCAGCATCCTGAAGCAGGAAGGCAGAACGCAGATGGCAGAGGATTTGGAGTGGGCAGACAGGTGTCAGTTGTTGCGTGGTAACCCACTTACAGCAGCGAGGATGTTTGATTACAGATGGCATTGTTTTCTGAACGAGGTTCTCATGTCTCCTGCTCAACCAATTGGCAAAATCATAGATTATTTTTATAGAGTTGAGTTTCAGCAGCGCGGTTCTCATGTTCACTGTCTGTTTTGGATTGAGGGTGCTCCCCAAATTGATAAGAATACAGACGAGGAGGTTGTAGAGTTTATTGATAAGTACGTATTGTGTGAGTTACCCTCAGATGATGACGCATTATTGGACATTGTGTCATCAGTGCAAACACATTCCAAACGACATTCAAAGTCATGCAGGAAAAAGAAGACTATGTCGTTTTAATTTCCCAAAACCTGTGTCTGAGCATACATTTATTTGTAAAATAGAAGAAAAAAAATGCACATGTGACAAGAAGGTGGCAGAGAAGACAGGGGAGGACCTTAGGCAGAAGACAAACCAGTCTGTAGGTGTTTTGAGAGGAGTAACAAGATGAAAGTAGAGATTGCGAGGTCTATATTGGAATCCGTTAAGAAAGCAGTGGAAAGTGAGTCATTTGGTAGTGTAGAGGAGTTATTTATGAGTGTGGGCATTAATCAGGAGATTTTTGAAATGGCATATAGGAAAATGCAAAACAAGACCAAGGTAGTTTATAAGAGAGGAGTAAATGAAGTTTGGGTCAATCAGTATAGCAAGCAGTTGTTGAAGTGTTGGAACGCTAATATTGATGTGAGCTTTGTAACTGATGAGTATGCAGTTGTTGTGTATATAATATCGTATATTACAAAAGCAGAGAGAGAAATTGGCCTGTTATTGAGTAATGCCCAAAAAGAAGCCAAAAACCGAGGGAATGTCTCAGCTAAAGACGCGTTGAAGAAGTTGGGTAGTGTGTATTTGCATAATAGGGACGTTAGTGCTCAGGAGTCAGTGTATAGGTTAACGAACTTTCATTTGAAGGAGTGCTCTAGGAAGGTTGTGTTTGTGCCGACAGGGAATAATATAGTGAAGATGAGTTTACCTCTCAGTGTTTTGAGGCAGAGAGCATCTGCACATGATCTTAGCACAGAAGATATGTGGATTATGAGCTTCTTGGTTTGATATAGGAACAGGCCCGACGGTGATGTGTTTGAAAATATGTGTATGGCGACATTTGCGTCGGAGTATCGTGTTCTTTCCAAAAACGAAAAGTCTCCGGACATGATTCGATTGAAAAATGATTTGGGCTTCATTTTGAAGAGAACACGTACTCAGTTTGCGGTTGTTCGGTACATGCGCATGAAAGAACATCCAGAGTTGCATTTTCAGAGTTTGCTGAAGTTGTTTCTTCCATATAGAACTGACTCAGACCTCAAACCTGAAGGCTTTGAGCTGTTTGAACAGTTCCATGAGGATGGAAGTGTGACATTTAGTGACTGGTCAGTATATGTGGTTAAGGATGTGGTGAAGGATAATAGAGCAGTGTTTGATGTAGATTTTCCAGATTTAGAGCTTGCGCAGGAGATTGCAGAGCAGCATGGTTTAGATGAGGAGGATGCTTGGGGGGAGCTGTGTCCTGAACAGGAAGTTGAACGCCTTGAGTGTTTAGAGGAGAGAAGGCAGCAGCAGGGATCTGAGATAGTAGAGGAGCAGTTACAAGAACGTCTGGAGAATGTGCCAGATTTGGTTGTTGGTAGTAGACAGGTAGCGCAGTTGGAGAGGAAGAGGAATGTGATGTGTAGAAGTGAGGGCTTAGCTTTAGTTAGGTCTCTGAATGAGACATGTGAATGTGTTTTATAAGGTCAGACAGTGGTGTTTGCAGAAGGTGATGGGTAAAAACCCAGAACCTCTGCATGTGTTTGTGACAGGTGATGCAGGAACGGGGAAAAGTCATTTAATTAGGGTTATTCAGTATGAGGCAGGGAGGTTGTTGTCCACACTTTGTGATCAACCAGACGATATTCGTGTTTTGTTAACTGCACCTACAGGCATAGCTGCATACAATTTAAATGCAGCAACAGTTTATCACACATTCAGTATTGGCACACATGCCAGTTTGCCTTACATCCCTTTGGGTGAGGACAAACTAAACTCTTTGAGAGCCAAATTTAGTCACCTCCAAATTGTAATCATAGATGAAATCAGTATGGTTGATCACAATCTGTTGGCATATGTTCATGGTA